AAAATTAATATTAATCTGGGATATAATTAAAAAAAAGTCAAAAAAACTCCTAAACTTATTGAAACTCTACCTAGAACAATGTTTCCATGAGCTAACTAATAAGTTACTTTCTGTTCTTGCCATCTATAATAAAATTAAGAAATAAGTTAATTTAGGTTGATCAAACATGGTCTCGGAGAAACTTTTAACGATATTCACTGTGATACCCAGATATATACATATAAGATGCACAATGTGATATCCTTTGTAAAACAATGAAAATAACGAAAATGCACATTATGATACATTTCATAAACACAAAGAAAATACATTGTGATACATATGAAAACATTATGAACGTTATCACTTTGATTCACAAACGTCTTTAAAATACGATTAGGTAACTAATTTTAATTAAATATACTCTTCCAAAAAATTTAATTAAATATTTTGATTAGTTGTTAAAAATATAATTACTATATTACTCTTTTAGCTTATTTAATAAATATTATTAAATATCTCAAACGAGTGATTCACATTGAATCTTACGATTACCACAAACTAATCAGTTATCCCTTGAATGAGCCCCTATGTGTGTGTGTGTGTGTGTATATATATATATATATATATATATATATATATATATATATAAAAGTAGGGGCAAGTTCAAATGAAACCGAGTTTCGGTTGTGAATTAGGGGACAAAGGAGAGCTTGGCACGTGTCCTCTACGTCCACAGGTTATTCATCATGAATAATGATGAATGTGTATTATTAATCATGAATAATGAATCAATTTAATACGGATCATAATTGTGTGTTATTCATCATGAATGTTGTGCTATTCACCATGAATGCAATATTATTCATCATGAATAGTTCACGAAGTTCACATTCGTTATTTATACTGAATGTGGATACCGGAGACGTATGTCACGCTCTCTCTTGTCTCTCCATTCACCGTCGAAAATTGGTTTGCGATTGGACTTTTCTCCATATACGTATATATAATATTAATAATATAATATATTGTTATTAAATTTTAATGAAAAGTTAGATAAAATAATTTAAAGACTAGAATATCCCTAGCTTAACAGACTATTTAAACGAAGTTAGTATAAAGGACCCAAAAAAAAACAAATTATAAACTATAAGAACGAAAAAGAAAATAGTTTTCAACGACTAGAGATACAAATCGTTATAACCATCAAACTATAGGGACTAAAATTGTAGTTTACTTTATATAATATAGAGTAAACTACAATTTTAGTCTGTGTGGTTTCTTGATTGTAATGATTTTCGTTCCCATAATTTTGAAATTACAGGTTAGCATCATAATTTACAAATACGTCCATAATTAGTCCTTCATCCTAACGCTCATCCATTCCCTCGGTTAAGTACAAGGACAAAACCGTCATTTCCCTGTTTTCTCGTTTCAACTTTTTTTAATTAACTTGCTTTCTTTTCAAACTATTTTTAATTAAAATAATCAATTCTTTTTTATTATTTTACTATTTTTAAGAATTTAAATTTATTTATTTTATTTTTTGTATTTTTTTCGTTTCTTCAGTGAAACTTCATCATCTCTCCGACAATAAATCACCATTTTGGCGAAGCCATGGAACCTCACTTCCTACACTGCTTCGATTACCCTCTCCCTACCCCATTGCTAGGCATGGCAACAGGGCGGGGATGGGGCGGGTTTTGTAATCCCCGGCCCCGGTTTGTAGTAACGTCCCCCGGCCCCGGTCCCCGGTCAAATATCTAGCAATCTTCAATCAAAACCCGGTCAAACCCCATAAATAGTTTCCTTTAGTTTGATTCTATCGGGGATCCTCGGCCCCGGTTTGAGTAACATCCTTCGTCCCTGGTTTGAGTCTACCGGGGATCCCCGACCCCAGGACCCGTTTTAATAGGGAATCCCCGTTCGGGTCGAGTAAACCGGATTCCCCACCGGGTCGGGGCAAAATCACCATCCCTACCCATTGCTCTGATGACCCTTCTCCCCCACACCCTTTACCGGGAAGAACAAACATAAACCCAAACCTAGGACCGTCCCTGGGGGAGGGCGAGTCGGGCGTACGCCCAGGGCCCATAAAAATTAGGGGCCCAATTTTTTTTAATATATATATAATAGTAGTTTAAAAAAATTAGTAAATAGAAGACAAAAAAAATTAGTATCTAATATGACAAGAAAAAAGTTTTATACTACATTAACTATTAAAGATCCAGATATGTATGAATTAAATATATTGAAGAAAAAAAAATACATAAATAGGTTTCTCTCGTTCATTATATAATATTATTTAAAGTTTTTCTAAGTTTTTTTAATCTAAAACCAATGTCTAAAACTACTTGTTTTGATAACTTTGATATAATCTCTATAATTTATCTCCCATCGATTCTGTTGATTGTTCTATTCTCATGTGAATTCTATTTTTATATTAGAGTATGATTGATTTTCTTGTTATTAGCTAAGAAAACCCTCATCTTTTAAAAAAATTACTAACTATATAAGACGGTACAACTTATATTTATATTTAGAATAATAAAACTATAATTGTTTTTAATAGTTGTTATTTATTATCTAATATTGAGTTTATAAATTTTATGTACTATTCTATCTCTAAATGAAGAATAAGATCTCAAACTATTACCAACATGAGTTTTTTAATTTATATAATCGATAGTTCCAGAAAAGTTTTTTATAACCTTAACTCTATATTCTTGAGTCTTCTTTTACGTAGGAAAGAATAAAAAGTAATGAGGGAAGAAAAATATTATGTTTTCGATATTTTTTTTAGGGAAAATAAAAGAAAAGGAAAGGAAAAAAGTTATATCAAAATTTATTTTTATTTCATTATTTTTCCTTTCTTTCTCTTCTTTATTAAAAACACAAATAAAAAGCTTTATTTTTCTTCTTTCCTTTTAAGCTTTTATTTTTCCTTTCCTTATTCTTTCTTTCCTTCCCAAATTCAAAAACATAATATAAAAGTTTAAAATGATATTAATCTTCTCAAATTCGAAAACATAATATAAAAGTTTAAATAGTGTTAATCTTCCCAAATTCGAAAAAATAAAATAAAAGTTTAAAATGATGTTAATCTTCCCAAATTCAAAAACATAAAATAAAAGTTTAAAATGGTGTTAATCTTCCCAAATCCGAAAACATAATATAAAAGTTTAAAATGGCGTTAATCTTCCCAAATTCGAAAACATAAATAAAAGTTTAAAATGACGTTAATCTTCCCAAATTCGAAAACATAATATAAAAGTTTAAAATAATGTTAAAAAAATTAACATGAACATGGAAAACCAACCTCTTTACATTGTTTTACATAGCGTCACTCGGAAATAAGAAGAATCCACTTTGTGACCCCAAATGATATCATTCTATGTACCAAAAGTATATCGTATGATGTTTTTGATGATGAAACAAATTACTGATATTACATAAAATTGTTCTAGTAGATAATATTAATTTGAAAATGAGTATTGATTGATTTTGCGTCCAGAAATACTCAAAAATATGATTTTATATGAATTCAATGTTATTTCTGATGATAAAAACAATATATTGAAAAAAATATCGTACTTATCGAGGGCCCCTTTTTTACATCTCGCTCAGGGCCTAAAAAATGTCAGGAACGGGCATGCCCAAACCTAAACCATAGTCTTTCAATTCCAATTGTAAAAATGCATTGTATCAAATTGATACAATTGAAATTTCCCCAAGTCAAACCTTATTGACTTTTCCCTAGGTTAAACCACGATTTTGCAAGCCTATGATTGATCTTAAAGGTGCATCTGTTTAGAAAAATTCTTGGGTCCGCCACTGTTTTATCTCAATTCTCAATCTCGATCTAAGACCTTCTGGAAACTATATTGAGAAGGAGAAGCATATAGGTTTTTGAACTGAACTCCAGGTAGGAGATGTGTGAAGACATTGTTGTTGGATTCTGAATTGGCCTCTAGGTTTGTGAATTGACCTTCAGAAGTCTAAACTGAGATTTTATGGTTGGTTGAGTTCGTGAAACGTTATCCTCGACGTGAGCGAACGAACAACCCAAAAACCTAGTAGATCCACAACTTCAAAGAAGCATAAGTGGTAGAGATCTCATGCTAATGAAAAACCCATTAGTCCAACTCTAGAACATCAGACAACACAAAAGTCGTTTGTCACCAACAAATAGTTCTAGAAAGATATGTGTTTAAAAGAGAGAACGATTATTACCTGATGAGTTGTAAATGACTTTACAAGAAAAAAAAATGCAAAAGTGGATTCTTATAAGAACTTCCACAGTAAATAAATATGAGCAAATAAGAAATGACATTTTTGCCCTCATACTTAATGGGAGGGAATAGATCGACAGTAGGACGAGGGACCAAATCCAACATAAATTAAATGAGCAGAGGCTTGCCATGTAATACATGAAGATAAATGATCATACCCGTAGTATTTCACAAACCAAAGGACCAAATTCATGATTTACTCACTCTAAAAGTTATGGGTGGAGTACGGTACCAAGTCTTTACCTTCAATACCGTGTACCAATTAATTATAATTGATATGCAAAATCTTATATCATATATCAACCAACTGTGTTGGTACCAAGTTCACATACTTAATATTATACTACCAAAATCTTACTGATATAATACTATGTATTAACCAAATTTACGTCATTAATATTATACTACCAACTGATTATAATTGATACCAATTAAGTATCGTACATATTTTAGTTTGGTAAAGACAGAGCCTACTATCTCGGTTGGGGATGCTGACCTCATCATCAAAAACCCCTCTTAAATCCAGTCACCGCCGGCGACCAACACCTAAACGAACTTCCGACACACGCAGCAATGGTTCTACGGTTAATCGGCCGCATCGGAAGAAGACCAGCATCCCTTTTCTCTACGCGCACTTTTTATCGTCCTATAACCCTAATTCAATATCCTTCCCCCCATCGATCTCCAGTTGAACACAACTATCCTCAACAATCGAGAGGATACGTATCAGAGATGCGAAAATCAGCTTTCGAGGACCGCATACGTAGACTCATCCGCAACGACATCCAATACGAACTCGATCGATCTCCTCTAACTCAGGTACTTAGGTTTCCCTGATTTTCCCCATTTCGTCTTCTCGTTTTCTGTTTGGTGTGCGAATTGCATCAATCCGCTCGTTCCAAATAATAGAACAATAAGAAACAAGCTACACTTTGATTTACGTAGTAGTGGTCTCTCAAACACAATATATTCATCAGCTGTGTCACATAAATGCATTTCATCAGCTGTGTCACTAAAATACATTTCATCAACACATATCACATACACATGGCATATAGCAGCAGTAGGCATATAGAAATTGGTGTTTTTATTTACTCTATGCCTCTTTGAGTATTTGTTATGATTTTGGTAAATTAGATTGATTCAAGTTAAATATGGCATATAGTATATATATTGTCATAGCAGCTGCGGTATTTGTTGATTGTTTCCACCATTTGCAGCAGCAAATCACATATGTACATAGCAGCAGGGCAGTAGCACGATTTATTTCATCAGCTGCTGGTTGCTTACACCATTTATTTCATCATCTATGTTCTACAACAAATGCACATACACACAACATATAGCAGCTTCATCATAGGTAACAGCAGTAGTAAACTGTAAGGTTAAGAAACATAAGAAACCAAACCCAATATATTCACCTGGAGGTGGGGTCTGGGGTGGGATATCCCTGTACTCATAGAGTGACTGTTACTGTGAAGACCCTCTCCTTGTGAAAAATGTATGAGAAGAAGAAAGCTTGCCCACAGTAGCAGCTGTAGTAGTAATGCAGTAACAGCGGTAAGGCATATTTTGCTCTCAATTCTAAAGTATTGGCAATAAGTCAGATGCTCAAATGTGAATGACTTGTAAATGAAGGTTAACGCTGTAACATGCTAATCTCCCATGTGTTTAAATTTGTCTTGCCTCTTGGGTAATTTAGTTGTTTTCACTCTAAGATCTTGACATGGCATGTTTGATTATTGTTTATTTGTGCATTTTTGTTTTAGTTATACGTAGTAGTCTAGTAGATTCCTTCACTTGGTTTGTATGTAAATGTTTCTTTTATATGTATCTATGAAATGACCATGAGGGGAGGCATTGCCATAGGAGCAATAGCAAAGCTACATAGTTTTTTAAAGTGTGGCGTAGCACAACAAGTGTGTGTGTGTATATAATATGTTTTAATATTTTGTATGTATATCGAACATGTAATATGTTCTATGTGGCAAGTGTGCGTACATATATGTTTGCTCAATGATATTGAACAATTTAAAATCATAAAAAAAAGAAAGTAATAAATTGATAAATAGATCTTACAGAAATTATAAAACTCAATGGTAAAATAAAATTTAAAAGAAGTTAAAAAGGTCAAAAAATTAAAGAAGAATGCGCATTGGCATGCGATCCCATGTCACACCAAGGCAGCACCACACCTTAAACAGACATCATGAGGGTTAATGGCACGTGGCAGACACGCCTTTTAGAACACTGTTTATAACAGACAAAATCAATACATCCTATTTTCAATATATCTTTTGGGATGTGCCCTCATCATTGAAAACATTTCTTAAATCCCATCATCGCACTTAAACATCACAAGGTGATGTTTAATCAGACTCATTCCTTGGTGAACTCCTGATAGTAATTATTTATGATCGGTTGTTTCCTGAAAGCACCTTGACTCATGTGAACTGGTTTATATTAGAAGTGTAGATTGTGGTTTACTTATTAGCATACTTTGTGTAGCTTGTTCCCAAGTTCAAATCTTTTGCAATTGATGAGAGACCTGGAGAGCAGTGGATTAGATTGAACAAGGCATTTGGAGACAATGAAGAGATAAAAGTAGAGGTGACTATGTTTCGAGTTTCTGCTCCTGATACAAAAGATATTACAGATAACAATCCGGAGCTTTTCATTTCAATGGTGGTTGACATCTTTAAGGATGAAGAAAGTGGTATTTTGGAGTTTGTGTGCAACGTGTGGCCTGAAAGTGTAGAGATAGAGAAAGTTTTCATGCATGACCAAGATGGAATGACCGGTAAACCTTACTTGGGTCCTCCGTTTAAGTAAGTTCCAATCTTCTTCGTAATTCTTATAGTTTGTACTTCCAATTCTAGGATCTATAGAAAGTTTGATGTTGATAATTGTGTGGGTTCTCTTATCGCCCGTCCATGATTTAGATGGAGAATGTTACCCGCTCCATTCCAAAATAAATGTCTACGATGAAAAGTCACACAAATTTAGAAATGTGTAATTATTACGCTTTTTAATTAACTAAATGACACTTTTACCTTTAATAATAGATGGAGTAAAGAATTTCTCCATCTCATAATTAAGGGTATAATTGGAAATTTGACATTTAATTTTGGAAAGGAGATACTTATCCTAGGTCAAACTAAAATAGGAACGTGGACACGTATTTTGAATAGAGGGAGTATTATCTTTATTAAAAATGTCGTATACATGAGCGTCGTTTTTCCAATTAGAGAATATATAAGAAGTCCACTGTTGGTCGTCTCATTTTTTGTATCAAGAAATGGAAGAGAGTGAAAGGTGCTTAGGTTGTTAGGAATATGGCTATTCCCTCTGAAAATTTAACAAACATTAGCAGCAGATAGGAAGAGAGCGAATACTTATTCTTACTACACAATAGCTTGGTCAAAACGTTATCTATTTATTTTGACTGCTTATTTAGTGTCATGATTCTAAACATATGGAAACAATCTCTCTACCCTCAATGGTAGATGTATGGTCTGTGTTATGTATGCACAAAAACGCTTCGGCCCGAAAAAGCCCAGGCTAAAAAGGCCCAATTGGGCCCATTTCACAGCCGAACCTGCCTTGTGCTTTTGAAGGCCCGAGTTCTTTTTGCTTACTAAAAGTGGGCCTTGTGCATCTCTAGTTCGCGTACATCATACCCTCGCTAGACCCTACTTGCGGGTGAGATAGTGGGGGACCTTTGGTTTGGTTTGGTTGGGTTTATTCTAAACATAGTTTTGATTTGCTCATTTTCAGTGATTTGGATGATGAGCTGCAGACTTCATTGTATGATTTCCTGGAGATGAGAGGTATAAACGATGAACTAGCTGTCTTCTTGCATAAATGTATGCAACACAAAAAGAAGAATGAATATATTCGTTGGATGGGAAGTGTCGAGTCTTTTGTAGCACGTAAACAGTAAGGGCAAACTCACTTTGCTTCCTGCTGCTGCTACTTAATACTTGCATCCTATGCCTATTGTTGCACTAAAAGTTGAGTGACTTCCCTCTAATTGTTTCTATTTATCATCTGAGACTCATTTTGTAGAATTTATGGTCACTACTAGAAACTCTGACCTATGCTTCAATACATGGCTTTAGTTTCCATTCCTGCTGCTTCTGGAATAGAGTAATCCTATCCTCTTTTACTTTGAAAACATTATTTTAAATTTGGAGTAAATGCCATAAATGTGTTTGTTTTAAATAGTTTCAAAACTATGCTTATTTTCAGTAATAAGGAGTTTTTGAAAAAGTTAAACCCTTTTGATTTATAATAAGTTGATAAGTGCTTTTGTAGAAAAACATAAGTTGTTTCATTATGCTTAGACTACTCGCTAAATCGTTGTAGCGTCTTCCAAGTTTCTCTCTAGCTTGTTTTGACTTGATAAAGGCGTTTGTACGTACTTGGAGTAGACTGAATTCTAAATATAAAGACCAAGTTCGCGTTGGTTTGGTCTTTTCATGCATGGACATTAAAACACCGATTACAATCTCATTCAGTGAATACAAGAACCTATTCTATTAAGGGGTTGTTTGTTTATCTCTTAATAGTTCCTTTAAGATGCAACCTCTGAATCGTTAAGAGGTGAATCTTGTTTGGCAAAAAAAAAGTTTGCCTCTTAATGGTTCCAATACCCTCTGAATGATTTTGTATCCTGGAACTCCCTTAACCATTAAGAGCCTTGATTTCATTATACACAGTTACCAAACAATTATATTTCATTTTGTACTATATCATGAGAGTCTCTTAATTATTCTGACCACTTAATCGTTTTGTACCAAACCAATCAGCAATTGCCAAACAGCCCCTAAGTGTTTGATTAGATAGGTGCTATCAGCAAATCCAAAACAACCTTATAGTTCTCGAGGAGCTTTACCTTCCAATTCCGTTCCTACGTGATCGCGATAGTTGCTTCTGCTAGATCGGATGAGCAGAAAGATATACCGAATCAATGTAACCATTCTTAAGTTGCTCCTATAGAATATTTCTTTACTGTCAGATCAACGTCGACTTGACGAGCAATTGGTGGTTGAAGCCTTAGCTCACATATTTGATTAGGTCTTATTTCATGCTATAAACCAATTGATTATTGCATCGTCCGAGTTAACTTCACATCATATGTTTCTACTATGCCAGGATTTAAGGACAACGAGGAGGTTGGTTTGGACCAGTCACAAATTGATTATGATATGTAGAAGGGAGGAAGTTATGCAATTTTTTAATTTCATCAAAATATTAAATTATTAATGGTTTCTTAACGTATATATAACATAATTATGATTATCAACAAGTTCTTAGTTCATGTAAGCCCGATTATCTTCAGTTAGCTGGCCAGTGATGGCCAAACCGGCCCTGGACCGTTGGAGGACCCAAACTGGGACCGGTTATGGCCTGGCCCGATTTTTCAAAAAGCCGTTTTTATAGCCGTTACTAGCTGTTTTTTTTGGATTTTTTTGCCTTCTAAACACTATAAATAAGTGTTTGGTTGAGGGGTTTATATACCAAGTTTTCAATTCGCAAAAAAAAAACAAAAAGACAGTTCACAATTTTTGTAAGACAATGTAATTTTAATTATAATAGAACACATTTTTAAAGTGTATTTGAGTGATCTAGTTACAAATTTTATAATGTATTAAAAATATATATCATTAAAAAAATTTAAAAACAATATTTTTTTATTGACTGGAAATGGGATCAGTGGCCCGTAACCGGTTACAATAAAGCTTAACTGGACTCACTCTTTTCGATCGGGACCGGATTTATTTAGGCCGGCATCGATAAAGACCGGCCTAGCCTGTCCGAGACCAGTTTTTGACCATCACTGGTCAGCCTCTGAAGTCTGACCTATTACTCTTATTGGGCTGGAAATAATGTACTAATGGCCCATTTAAAGTAGAAGTGGGTTTATTGATTATTGAAGAGGGGATTTATTTTTAAGAGCAAATTACAATTTTGGCTCTTGTGATTTATATAAAATTACTAATAAAGTCACTCTATTTTAACGAGTATACTAATAGTCCTTGTTGTTTGTATTTTGTTTTTAAAATGGTTCTTATGATTAACTATGTTAACAATGGTCTGCTAAGTGAAAATATTTTCGTATTTTTATTGTAGCTTTTGTATTTTTTTATTTAAAATGAAATGAAATAATTATATTTTAAATTTCATATATATTATATATTAATACAAAATAAATATATAATTTTTCATAATTTTTTGAGGAAAGGAGTAAAAGGACAAAAATACCTCTCATTTAACAGCATATTGCCTGATTGTGTTAGTATCAAGGATCACTTTCAAAGTAAAATGCAAAATGGTGACTGTTATTGTACTTTATTAAAGTTCAGGGGCGCTATTTATACTCTTATGTAAATAACAGGGACAAAAATTGTCGTTTTCTCTATTTTCAAGTATAAATATAGACCCTTTCCTCATCACTCATCAGTCATCTCTCTCTGGGTTCCCGCTTTTTTCTTTGATCTTCGTCCATCCACTGCCTTCTTTCACCTGCATTTGTTGATTCGGTACCGTACCATCGTTCTTCAATCTTGATTTTCATTATTAATCTTTTACGTTTTGATGAATCGATCGCCACCTGTCATCGTAATCGTCGAAGTAAGTCGTTCAGATGTATGCGATTTGTTTAAATCGCGTTTTCTTGATGGGCATAGATCTTGTTTTTTTACGGGGTTCTACTTTTGATTGGCGAATAGGTTTAGTTCACGTTTTCTTGGTTCGATCGCCACTGGTCCTTGAGGGTTATCACAAAGCCAAGATTCGTCTCGGATAGACAAGATTTGATGATTATACAGTATCTTGATGGACAAGATTTGATGATGTCTTCTTGATACAAATCTTATAATTATTCATCCGTTTGTACTCGACTGTGTTAAGTTTGTGTGCTGTTGGTTCGATCGCTTCATTGTGGTTTCTGCAACGCCACGGTTCAGAAACTTCTTCTGAGATGGACAAGGTTTGGATAATCATAAGTCTCCTCTGTGATATTTTTACCCGTCGTTTTCTACTATACGTCAATCAGGTACTTGAGTTCTTTTATGTTTGCAGTGGGTGATGACTCTCCATCAGTTTGGTTCTCTTCTTGCACGCTTCTATTTGCAGTCATACGCCTAGGTGAGAAATTAATTGTGTATTCATAGAATTATATATGAAAATTTTGAATTCTCGTTGATTGCTACACTCCGATTTAATCCTTTTATTTATGTAGATATCTTCAGCGCATGCAGGTGTTTCACAATGATTGATTGAAGAATAGGTGTTTGATCGAACATCTTTGTTTAGGATTTCTATTGGCGATGGATTGATATCCATGCATGAACTGTTGATGTATAGTCAGGCGAGACTGCAGCGGGTACCGAATTTCATTTGTATCGTGGCCTGCCATGTCGGGTGCGCCTGCTTGGCAGGTCTTACATAATAAAAACAATGGTTTTTGGTTGATGGAGGGAGATGGTATGGGGTTTGCCCGACTCTCCCTCCACGTGGGTGTGTGGTTCTTTCCCCTCCCCCCCCCCCCTCTCCCCTCCTCTCTGCCATTATCTTGTGTTCTTGTTTCTTTTGTGGCATTCGTTAAACACAAAGCTACCACAACACCGTCAATTGCAGAGATCGGACATGCAAGCACCTATGTGTCAGTCGATGAAATTTCTCCATCCGTTGTTTTGCACTTGCACAGATATATACGTTACAATTTGATTGATTCCATTATATTCACTCCATTTGCTACTATCTGATTCAATCCATTATTTTCACTCCATTGTCTACAATCGGATTCAGTATCCTTTTGCAAGGTCCATTTGTTACAATGTGATTCAATCCATTTGCCATTTGTTTCATTGTTATTCAATCCATTATTGCATCATTTGTTACAATCTGATTCCATCCATTTTCACTCTATTTGTTACAGTGTGATTCAATCTATTTACACTCCATTTGTTACAATCTGATGCAATTCATTTTCACTCCATTTGTTACCATCTGATTCAATCCATTTGCATTCATTGCCATTTGTTACAATCTCATTCAATCTATTTGTCATTTGCTACAACGTGATTCAATTCATATGCATAGCTCCAATCTGATTGAATCCATTTCACTCCATTTGTTACAATCCATTTTATTGCGTGTATTTTTGGCCGATCAATCTGCAGGCACTAAACTTAAGCTGTATGGCCGTCGTCTTCTTAGCACATTGAAGATTAGATGCTTGATCAAACATCTACGTGCGATCAACATCAGTTTCATAGATTGGAGGGGCATACACCATCTGTCAGCATGCAATTATCTTGCTCTCCCTCCTACCCCTCCTCCTCTTTAAGATTATCTTGCTTCTTTCTTTTGAGGCATTCTTTAAATAGAAGGATTCCACAACATTAATTGCGCAAAGATAGGACATGCGAGCATCTATCGTTGGGAGCTACAATATGCATCAATCATGAAATTGTCCATCCGTTGTCTTGTACAGGTCCATTTGTTACAACTTGATTCAATCCATTTTCACTCCCTTTATTACAATCTTATTCAATCCATTTGCACATGTGATTAAATCCATTTCCCATTTGTTATAATCTATTCCATCTATTTATCTGAAGCAATCCATTTTCACTCCATTTGTTACAATGTGATTAAATCCATTTCCCTTTTGTTACAATGAGATTCAATCCATTTGCACAGGTCCATTTGTTACAATCTTATTCAATCCATTTGCCATTTGTAACAATGTGATTCAATCCACTTGCACATGTCCATTAGTTACAATTTGATTCCATCCATTTTCTCTATTTGTTACAATGTGATTCAATTCATTTGTACATGTTCATTTGTTACAATGTGATTCAATCGATTAGCCTTTTGTTACATTGTGTTCAATCCTTTTGCACACGTCCAATTGTTACAATCTGATTCCATCCATTTTCGCTCCATTTGTTACAATCTGATGCAATCCATTTTCGCTCCATTTGTTACAATCTGATGCAATCCATTTTCACTCCATTTGTTACTATGTTATTAATCCATGTGTACAGGTCCATTTGCTACAATCTGATGCCATCCATTTTTACTCCATTTGTAACAACCTGATGCAATCCATGTTCACTCCATTTGGTATAATCTGATTCAATTTATTTTTGCTC